AAAAATGTGCTTTGAGTCAGTCATATGTATGTTGATACTAATGTGATCAGCCACAGACCAAAAAAAAGAGGGACTCTTAAGTAGGTTCAAAAAAGAATACTTGCACACCTTTTTCTGACAATGGGCTCATGCAGTTTCAAGCTGTAAATAAGAACGAGACTCCATCCTTTGAAATGTAAGTAAAATGGTATCTATTATGAGGGGGAAGAAACAAAGTCCGAGGGCCAGGAATCATGTTATTCAGCTGCTTATAAGCTTATAGCATAGCACTTGTCCCATGAAAGTACGAAATTGTAGCCTTTAACCAAAGTGGTTAAGGCACCCTCACCACTACTTGGCTATTCTGTGGCTTCACTGATGTTACCCTCAGTATGATTCTCTCCGGCGATTAGAGGGGCACAAGTTCTAAATGCAGTACAGCAATGGATCAGTCACTATCTGCTTTCGTTTCTGGGTGCTATTAAATTAGGCTAATTATGAACTGCATTGGAAGATCGGCACAGGTAGACTAGTTAAAAGAAATGTCATCTAGCCTTTTCAGTTGTCCAGAGATCAAAATCCGGCTGTTAGAGAGAGGATGCACTTCAGATGTTACAAAGGAGAAATGGATTATTCAGTGATACAGTTATGCTTTCAGGGCTCTCAATGAGTGACCAGTCTGATTCCTTCTGATTTGCGGCAGATGAGGAGATAGAGACAAAACTGGATGGTCTTTAATTGCCCAAAAGCAATTTGCTAAGCCTGAGAATACAATTTCCTACAACCAAGGCTAACTTCAGTGGCATAACACCTACGCTTCTTAGAGCTTACATTAAAAAATTAAACATAATGGGGTGGGTCCTGTCAAAGACCAGCACACAAAAGATGGGGGGAAATTGTCTCCCTATGCATCAGCCCTCCAACTTCCCCCTCATGTTCCTCCTGCCCCCCCATCCCATGATTTCAGGGGGTATTTAGGGTCCTTAGGAAGGGGGAAGTCAGGGAAATGGTGCTTCCATACATGGGATTTAGATGGGATCCAACCCATTAAATATTAATTTCAAATAAATGTTTAAGTGCCATTAACAGAGCACAGCAGTTACAAATTAATAGTGTGAAATGAAGTCATAAAGAGGGAACTCTTTACCTATCAATTAAAGGTAAAGGTAAAGGTTCCCTTGCTCGAAAGTCAGTCGAGTCCGACTCTAGGGTTGCGGTGCTCATCTCCGTTTCAAAGCCAAAGAGCCAGCACTGTCCGAAGACATTTCCATGGTCATGTAGCCGGCATGACTAAACACCAAGGCGCACGAAACGCTGTTACCTTCCCACCGAAGTGGTACCTATTTATCTACTTGCAATTTCTTGCTTTCAAACTGCTAGGTTGGCAGTTAATTACCTAAATTACCTATCAATTACCTAAATACCAATTACATAAATGATCTCCTTCTAGATGGTATAGTTCAAATATCTACTTTCAACAGTTTATACCATTATTTAAGATGGCATTCAGTTCTCATGTTAAAAGTATTTGATTTTTTTGTTATTTATAAAGGCTTAAAAAAAGAATTCTTAAAGTGTGCTCCTATAAGAGGGATGCTTTAGATTCTTTTGTTTAGACCATACTCTTTGTATACTTTCTATCTTTAGCTGGCATGCTGCTATTTTGATACCGTCACATCTTGTGTTTGTTCAGGCTCTTCATTTAAGTCGGCCTTTCAAAGGGAAATGTTGGAATTTTCCTTCAAAAAGGAAAGGGAAAAAACCCCACTTTCACCTTGCCGAAAGGACGTGTTCAGATTATTATTTTTTTTAAGCGAAGCCTCTTCTTGGCTCAGAGCCCGGCAGCCCTATCAGCGCCCTGTGCTGCAATCGTCCCCTTGAGACTTAAGAGAAAATCTGGTCTTCACTTTTCTAAGACTGCCAAAGGATGAAATACTTTGATCCTTCAGAGTAACATTAGAGTAGCTTCCCTCCCAGGTACTAAATATGACAAAGCACACTTAATTTATTCATCCTTCATATAAACACTGGATATTTTCTGTAAAAATCCAAAGATTTAGTGCAACCCTTTTGTTAATGCCAAATAAACCCAAGTCTCTTAATGAGACGTCAATGTGACGGGGATGGTAGAACAAGAAGTTCACTGCTGGAGCACTGGAATTAGGAACTGAAAAATCTGGCTGGAGTGATAAAGACTACTATTTCTTTTAGTGGATGTGTTGTATTAAACTGAAGAACGTTTTAATAAATAAAATTGATCGTGCAAGCTGTTCTCTATGTGCAGCATGTCAGTGTTCTGTTTCTAAATTCACATTTTACTGTCATTTTGCTTCAGGGCTGATCTCCTACACAGAATACCTGTTTCTGCTGACGATACTCACAAGTAAGTATCTTGTTGCTTGTGTAAGGTGTATATTGAAACGTGAAGAAGTATTAATGCTATTGCCTTCCTTGTCTCTTAAGATTATTACATCATTGCCCATCGCTGTTAGAATTAGGCATTGCAAATATTTCCGAGAATGCCAAGTTTCTGTGGACAGTGGAAAATCCAGTGTGTTCGTAAGAGGCTGTGGACATCCTTGCGCTTGTGTAAGCTTTTTGTATAGTGAGGCTCTTGGAGTGGTCCTCACTCAGTGGCAGAGCATATGCCAGGCATGCAGAAGTTGCCAGGTTCAATAGCTGGCACCTCACTCAGTTAGAAAAGGAACTCTAGTAGCAGAGCTGTGAGCGGAATTGGCCTGAGACCTACTGCCAGTACTGAGCTAGCTGTACCAATGCCTTCATTCAGAATCTGTATTCATCATTCCCATGTGCCCCTACTAATCTCTCATGAGACAAGGCTGGCTCCTGTAGGAGAGACCCGTTCACAGTTTGGGCAGGTTGATATGATATATATATAATTAAAAATCTCCCCTGAATTACCTGATCAGGACTGAGATGCCCAGTGCCCACCGGGAGCTACTGATTGAGTGCAGTTAGCTGTTGTTCACAAGGGAAGGAAAATGGGGGGGGGTTTTTTTGAGGAAATTACCTTCTTCAGTTATTCAAGCCAACAAGAATGTATAGTATTGTGAGCAGAAGGGTTTATGTGCTGTAAAATATGCATCTCTCGATCTTAATTTTCTGTCACCGTCTCTGGTCCCCGCGAGTCCAGGGGACTTTTTAAGTAAGTCTCTGTCATTGCAGAGGCATAAGGGGAAAGGCATAGCTCTGAAACAAAAAGGACTGGAGACTTACTCAATTTTTTAAATGAAAGCTAGGAATTCAGAGGAACTAGTACATAGATCATTACAACACAGATCATTATAACACTATGACAGTTTCTCAATTGCTGTTTTTCCAGAGGTGGTGGTGGGGAATGGATACTGCAGGAGCCTGGAGCAGGGAAAATGGTGCCCATGTGGGGAGGACCAGGAAGATCCAGACTTTCTCATCCACCCTGGTTTTTCTGTGATCTTTCCAAAAACATTGCAGCAATGCATGTTTGGTATGACTGCAGAAAAGATGGGAGAAACCCAGGAGGTGCACGGAAACACCGTGATGCTGTGGGAAAGCAGGGCCTGTTTTCCAATAGCTTCCAAGTCAGAGAAATTGACCCAAGTAACGTAGATGTCATTTTCTCCCAGCAAACATTTGTTTCAATTTTAATACAGCATAATAATTTTATTGGTCTTCAACATTTTCCTCCCTGTTGATGTGGGCAAGCAGAATTTGCAGATGAATTCCAGCACACTTCCTTGAATATGCCAGTTGAGTTTGGTAGCCCACTCATATCGTAATGCTGCATAGCTTTGGGCCCTGGGATGGCCAATAGTGACGTGATGTGAAAGAGCTTTTGTGGCTCAAGGAATGAGTTTGGTGTGGTTTTTCCCAATCGCAAGTGGCAGTTCCAGTTGTGCCTCCAGCTTCATGTGCTTGAGTGTTCACTAATGGCACCTGAATCTCGAAACCCATCACTGAGACCTAGACATGATTTACACATTGTGTGAGCAGGATTGTTGCTGCCGTCACCTGCAGCATGTTCAGCTTTATTCCATAGCTGCACAAGTGGAAGTGTTGCACATTACTGAAGTTGTGTGGAAACAGTTGTGAACGTTGTGATACAATGTTGCTCATATAATGCATATAATGTTTGAGTTGCCCATATTTCTTCTCCTCTGTTGTGTCAGCCATTAGATTGGCATGCTTCTACAATATGCATGCGAAACAGGACCAGTAAGGCTGAAGCTCCACTGAAACGAAATTGTGGTGGATGCTCCTAAGGGCTGTTATTTTAGGCTGGCTTGGACTCAGAGCTGCAGTTTTAATTACTCTTGAGTCATGTTTTGAAGGTTAGCTGAACGGCTATAAAAGCTGGGGATTGTGTTTTTGTTGGCTTTTGTAAAATGAAAGCTGAGATTGTGGAGAATCACTAAGTGGCCAAATCAAAATGAGGGAGAATTATGCAACCACATAAACATGTTTTACAAGGGTCTCTATAAACTGTCACCATGAAGGCAATACATGTAAGAAAAATACGCTCCCTCTACCTAGTAATAGTGTGCCCTACTCTGCTTCTATATCTTGTACTTTTAAAAAGAGGTAGCAAGTTAAATCCTGCTGTGTGGCCTTTATGTGCCTCTCGTAACAGAAAAAGGCACTCTGTTCTTGCTTATATCTTCCTTAACATGTCCATGTTACTTTATGATGCTACTTTCCTCTGATAGAGTGTCCTTTTCTGACAGATCTTGAATAACAATTTTGCATATATAATAGATTTAAACTGAGCAGCTATAGAATTGGATGATGGCTAATTACGCATTGAGATGATCTAAAGCCCTTCTAGAAAGGATACCACTTACATAGACTGCTCTTCCATAAGACCAATGCACTAAAATGAATCTCAAGAGACAACAGCAACCTCTCTCTGGTGCTTCTCTGAGAGATCTCATATTTCTGATAGGTTAGTAGTTAAAGCAGTTCAGATCTGGAAAATATGGGAGGAGAGAGTTTTTAAAAACTCCACCAGCCAAAACTGAAACATTCCTCATCTATGTTCTGGTAAAAATCTGCATTCTGGCTGATCCGATATCTTGTTCTACATCTGTGTTCTGGCTGATCTGAGACCACATCTCATGTAGTCTAGCCCTTATTAAGCAGAAATTGCTTGGTAAATGAGTGTCTTAATGTATCATTGGTGTGGATTGTGCTGAGACTTGACCAATGTTGATACACTGGGGTGGGGGGGGGAGAGGAAATTTAGTGGCATCAAAGCAACCTTTTTCCCACTCTTTTTCAAAAGGACTGAATGACATTATTTCCTTGGTATTTCAAATTGATTGAATGTCGGAAACAAAAGAACCTTTGTGTGTGGAGAAAAAAGAACAGTGCTCACAGAGCTTTAAGTTATCATATACATCATTTTGAAAGAAAATGTCAGCAGATACTGGTATCGCCATCTGTATCTTACAGGTTTCCCATTTCAACCCCATCATTGATAGTTCATAGTTATAAAGTGTGTGTTTGTGAAATCTTAGTTTATTAGGAAACTACACAATTTTTAAAGTCATTTAACCCAGTAGCTTTGGAGGGGTTTTTCTAGTGGCATTTCCTCAATATTATACAGAACTTTGAGGTAGACCTGCACCACCAGCACTGCGTCTCAGAAATTTATGAACTCTTGAGTCCAGTTTTACATGTCATGCTACTCTGCTTGGGCACATGTGTAGCTCTGTTCCCCTCAAGGTGCTGTTCAGCAGCTGCTGTTCTTTGTGCGGTTTAGTGGTTAGAATGTCAGACTAGGATCTGGGGGAGACCCAGGTTCAAATCCCTGCTCTGCCATGGAAGCTTGTTGGGTGACCTTGGGTTAATTGCGTGCTCACAGCCTAACCTACTTGACAGGGTTGTTATGAGGATAAAAACAGAGGACAAGAGAACATGGGAAACCCTCTCTGGGTCTCCATTGCGAAGAATGATGATGTTATGTTGTAAATTAAGTAAATAAGAGTTTCCATCAATAGAGGATGGAGCATCAGACAAATGACTTTGGTGGGAATGGGCAGATGGATCAAAGAAGAGTTCTTGTTCTACTGCTTTTGCACCTTGCTCTTCCTCATGAGAATTTACAGCAGCTCCCAGTCTTCTTTCCAGGCGATGTTCATGCCTGCTTATTCTGACATGCCCTAGTGGGTCTTTCCCCTAGTCATACTCCATCTCCTAGTAGCAGTCAAGTTCCTCATACTGATTGATAATTGAGGAGGAGGATGGACTTCTACTTTGCCCTGCATTTGGTGCCTGTCCTCTAGAATGGTTACTTGTGTCAGTAGTGATTGTTTTCTCATCCAAGGATGAGACAGCCCTTGAATATCTGAGATGAACTGCCTTACAGCTACTAGGAAATGGGGGGGGGGAGATAGTGAGGTAGGAAAAACAAACTTCCTCAAGGGTTCCATCCATCCTAAATAATAAATGCAAATCCAGTTGCTCCTTAAAGACCAACAAAATTTTCCAGGGTATAAGCTTTTGTGAATAGTCTGGAGATCTTTCATGGTCTTTAAGGGGTTACTGGACTTGAGTTTTGTTCTACTACTGCAAACTAATACATCTACCTACCTACCTGAAACTATCCTAAATACTGTTTGGCTATACCTTGGTTAACTGGGCCAGATTGCCTATATACCCTGGGAAGAACAGAAGCCTACTAAATTCTATAACCCGTTCTCTCTTGCAGTTCTAAAATTAACCATCCCTACTATAAAGAGGTCTTTTAGACTCTTTGGAAGTGATACTTTAGAGACAGAGGGATCCCTGCATTGCTCTTATCATGGTTTGGGCAGGACGGCAGCCCCTTCTCCTTGATGGCATCACCAGTGTGAGAACCCTCTTTTGCAACCAGAAAGCCCCTTCTTTTGTGAGAACCCTCTTTTGCAACCAGAAAGAAGTGCATTTCCGGTGGAGAGAATGTCTGAGGAAAAATAAGCATTTTAGTTGGTTCAAACTTCCATTTTCTTGATACTCACTGCTCTAAGCTCTTACTTCATTTCCCAGCCAGAGCGGAGTTAAGACTTAGATGTTGGGACCATACAACAGTGTAGTTTGTTAATCTGGCCCTACAGTTCTGTCTCTGCAAACAGCCATTTTTGAGGGGTTCATTGTTTGAGGAAGATGAACATTCTCTTTGCCAAAAGCACACACTAACAGCCAATGTGGATGTCTGAAGCTCATATGTTAGACTTATTGTCTTTGTAATTAAATGCAAGTGTGTTGAGCTTTTTTCTTTTGAACCTCACTTATTTTATAAATACATACCACTGGAGTTGCATCATATCAGATAACAGTGTCTTTTTGTGAGCTGTATGAGCAGCTTTAGCTCCTATGTATTATGTGGGGCTACTTTCTTATCAGCATGTTGCAACAGATGGTATGCATCACTTTAGAATAAATCATTCTGCCTTTATTCACCAATAATGTTATAGCCTACACACACATTATCAGAGTCAAAGAATAGTTAGGGAAGTGTTTATTATGAAACATTCCACTGGGAAGAAATCTCCTTTCACCCTCACTTGTTACGGCCTTCTCCCTCAAGGTTATTAGCCCACTATTACAGTGCTATTTGTAAAGTATTTGTGCGTCTACAGATTGATCATTCATGAATGTCCATTGCCTGCTTAGAGTACTGTAAGGCTTTGAAAGCTGTCCAAGCCAGCTCCCTACAAAAGCAGGACTCTACCTAACACAAAGCAAGATCAGGATGACTAAAGCCCAGGGGGTTATTTGCTCATGGGTTCACCACTGAAAGAGGCACACAGTCCAACATCCTGAAAGAACCTGCTTTCAGCACTGGAGCATGTTTGTGTAAAGTCTTCACAGTGGACATGTTTGATGAGGGCTCAGCAGGCCAAAGAGAATTTTGGGCAAGGTGGCCTCTCAGTAGGAGTTTGATTTCTCTTTAATAATTCCATATCCTTCTTCCATGGCTGTTACCTTTGTTTGTTCACTTACTGACCACTTATCATCATGCCTCACATTCGCTTACCATGCCCTGCAGTCCTTGCCAAGAAAACTCTATACTGGGATTCCAAATTAGCCTTGGAAATGAAAGTCACAGCGCTTCCAGTATACCTCTTGCTGTTTTCTCAGTGGTGAGGAAGTGATGACCTCTATACCATTGTAGGGCCTCTCATTGCAATCAGGATACTCAGGAACCTGTAGATATTGCTATTTTGCATTAGGATATACTATGGTCCTGCTCATACAAGCCGTTTGGGCCGGGAGAAGGAAGTAACCATTGTTTGAGAGTTATGGTCTTAAATCTTTTAAGTAAATAAAAAATATAGGATGAATGTATAGATATGTGTACATCTAATATAAAAGGTCACATGAACACCTTCACTTTCAGGGTATTCTTTTTCACTGGCTTTCATAAACATCACCTTGTCTTTGGTGGTCCTTCAATTCTGATTTAAATATTGGACATAGTTCATTGGTTTTTTGTGACATTGACTTATTTCAAATGTCATGTTTGTGATCTTCCAAATCGATTGCCTCCAAATGTGAGTGGCAAACCCACTTCAAATCATTATTCTTGGTTAAGCCTTTATTTGATTCAGTTGAAAAAGCAGGCATTTTAACTTCTGAAATTAGCCACTATTTTAGTGACTTCTTTGTGCATCTCTCTCAATTACTCTTGTTGAACAAGTGTGGTTATATTGGTTAGTGTTGAACTAGAACTGGGGGGGGGGGGCTGGGTCCAATCCCTCATTCTGCCACAAAACTCATTGGCTAGTCCCACTTTCTCAGTCTAACTTCCCTCATATGGTTGATGTAAGGATTAAATGGAGAGAAACGTGTGCATAATTTTGAGCTTTTTGGAAGGGCAGGATAAAAAATAAAACACCTGTTTTAGTAGAAGTTACATGTTAGGGAAAGGAGAATACTGATTAAAACATGAATCAATAAAGCATAGGAAGTTCAACTCTGATATAGAGTATTCATACAGTGTTTTGAAGCTCTTGAGCCCATAATGATGTGAATACACTGGAAACCATGGTATTAACAGTTGGCTGAATTTAAGTAAACTACCTATGGGAACAAAACCTCGGTATTGTTACCTTTTTTATGGTGTTGAAGGAATTATCTGTTTTCACTTAAGTGAGCAAATCTTACAACCTGTTGATTCTCACAGCCTCCCCCTCCCCTACCACCAAGCAAGCTGAACACGTGGCAAAGCATAGCAGCAAGCCATCCCTAACCATAGAATGCTGAATGTGAGTTTTGGACAAATAATAAAAGACGAACAGGTGGCCCTTCCTTCTCATTTCTCCATATTCCTAGATATACTAGGAGGAATGATGATGTATGCTGAGATTCCATGTAGACAATTGACTTTATAATAGCATTTTTACTGAGTTTTTCCTGCTTTTGAATTGCCTGTGGGCCATAATAAAGACTGACTGACTGACTGACTGACTTTATCATGGCCAGGTTAACTTGCTTATGTTGTATCTTGATATGAAACCAGAAGCGCTTGCTAAATGACAGGAATATATTTTATATTGACTTGTCTATGTTTTTAAATGATGTATTTTATTCTATTACTGTAAAATGTATACTGCTTATCAGTTTTTGGAAGCCACCCTGAGCCCGCCTGGCGGGGAGGGCGGGGTAAAAGTTAAATAAATAAATATGAGGCAGCATTATCTAACGTATAAAATGTTTCTGAACAAATCTGTCTGCTTCCTTGCAGAACCACAGACTGGTTTTCATATTGCTTTCAAAATGCTGGATGCAGATGGGAATGAACAAGTAGAGAAAAAAGAGTTCTTTAAGGTATGGATATCTGTTTTAAAATATTTCGGTTTATTTATGGAAATACTTTATTAGCTATCACATGAAACATGGATTGGATTCAACAATATTCCTTTATCCATTTTGTGACGGTGTCATGTACGAGAGGGCATGTCCTTTTTTCAGAATTTCGAGATTAAAGGTAGTATACTTGAATTGTTTCAAAACTGTGAACCAGATTTCATATTTTTACAGTTGGACATGGATGGCAAAGAAAATTTGACAAATGCTTCTTCCTTTGCTAACATACTTGGTCAAGTAGAACAAAGCATGAGTCCAGTGGCACCTTTAAGACCAACAAAGATTTATTCACTGTATGAGCTTTTGTGTGCAGTGTACAATGAATAAAACTTTGTTGGTCTTAAAATTGCCACTGGACTCATCCTTTGTTCTACTTTTGCAGACCAACGTGACTACCCACCTGAATCTATACTTGGTCAAGAACTATGATGCTAGGGCCAAAGCTCTTATATCTGATTGTGTCTCTGCATATATAGAATATATATATCTACATACAACAAAATAGGAATTGGTTTGAGAACTCAGCTGCTAAAACTCATCATTTGGGAGCAGTTTGCATGGTGAAGATAAGGTGTTTAATTTTTATAGTGTGATACTAGAAAATGTACCCTTGAATTAAACCTCCAGTTGGGCCGTTATCTGACCTGTCTAGTTCTAACAGGCTTGCTTCCTTGTAGCAAATGGCATTTCCCATGTTCATCTTGGGGTGGGGCACAATGAAGCATGGCTTGAAGAAACAATGCTTTGTACAGCAATGCCTTCCTGACCCTTCTTTCCAGGTGAGAGGCCTCTTCTGCCTCAGCTATAAATGGCAGCTGCCCTTTTGTAAGCACACTTATTTCACAGTGGTCTCATCTTATGTCCCTCCCTCTGTACCTTGTTTCATACTTTCTGGACGCTATTGGAAAGTTGAAGGAACAGAGGAAAATAAGCACCTGATCAAATTTACCTTTTCTGAACAAAAACAGTGAGGGATGGTGAACTGTACACACTGCTGGTGAAAGGTAAAAGTAAAGGTTTCTGTATGCAATTTTAGGCTTTTCATGTGCACCACACTTTTTGAATGTCTAGCATCCAGGTGTTGGGCTATTTAGGGTAATGTTGTTACTTGCATCCTAACCTGCCAAAACTATCATATGATAGGAAGAACCAGAGATGAGAGCTAAAGATGATGAAGCAGGCTTTGACAGCATTGTTCAAACTTCCCCTTTTGAAGAAAGAAACTGAAGGAGTATGCAGAGGTTGTGTCACAGGCTGTTCATCTCAGGGCGATAAACATACTTTTAAAAGCACTTCTCCTAAATTCTCTGCTTTCTATCTCTATCCATACTGTTATCATAAATAATAAGTCCCTTGTTCTTTTATTTTTGCTGTCTATTTGAGGACTGGTGCTAACGTCTCTGAAAGGTAGGTGAGCTTTGCAGTGGTGCTGTGTTAAATCTCTTGTAAGAAGTCTGGCCTCAGAAGAGATTTGTGGGTTTCACAAAGGGAGGCTTACTGCTGGGAGTCTCCCTAATGATTTGCTAGAGATTTATAGTAAGCTGCAAATATGCATATTTGCTGGAGACCTTGTTTTGGATCTTAATTTATTAAATAATAGGATGGTACGTCATCTACAATACTATTAAAATGGTTAATTTTAAAAAAATCACTTTTTTGGTAGTGCTATGGAAGTGGTTTTTTTGAGCGCTCCGTGCTTCATCTGTGCTATCTGACATTATCCTGACATTATGAAAGCTGTCTGAAGCTGAGATTGTCAGACTGTGGGTCTGATTAGCCCCCAGTATTTATCTCCTGGGGTCTGCTTTTCAATGGCCAATGCAGAGAACTTTCCCAGCCCTGCTGCCTGAGATCCATATCTGCAATTCTCAGGATTGAATCCAAGACCTTATGCAAGTAAAAATCATTCTGTTTTATGAAGGAAATTGATATTCTTATCCCAATAGTTCAATGGCGGTCTGGGTAGGGAAGTGACTTGCTAAAGTCACACAGTAAACTCCATGGTAAGATCTGAACCCAGTTCTTACTAGCTCACAGTTCTCACTCCTAGCCCATGCACTATACCAACTACAACTAAGCCAGTTTTCAAACTTGCATTTGAAGCTTTGGTTTCACTTTTAAAAAATAAAGAAAAACTAAAATACACAAAAGCAGCTATTACCTGTTCTCGCCACTTTGATAGCTGTTACGCAATATTTGCACATATTCTATTTCTGAAAACCTGAAATAATTCTTATCTTTAAAATAGCTATATGTAGTCAAAATAATATATGTATAAAGAGCCCTTTCAACTTTATAGATAGATAATTATATATAGTAATGTTTATGATCCAAAGCAATAAGCATCTCATGTCCTGAGATTTTTAAGAGCTGATCCCTATGTCTAGGCCATCTTATGAAATTCCTTCATGGAAATTGTTGCAGGATATTTGGTAATATGTAAAGGGAAGCCTTTATAAGAGAAATTATTACCTATTTAATTATTTATTGGTCAAAATACACAGAAATATTAAAAAGGATTTTAAAATCCTAATTAAAGATAGTAAAAAAATGAAATCACTTTTGTTTTAGCTTCAGAAAATACTTGGGAAGCAAGATGAGTTGAAAGCATCTCCAGGAGATGAAGCAAGATGTCAGGTAGGTTTTCAGAGTCAGTGATTTTCCTTTAATTGTTTAATGTGGCACTAAAGCATTGTCCTTTTTTAAAATGGGATTCCATGCACAGCTTGTAGCTGGTGGCTTCCATGTTGGTTCTGGCACTTAATGAAATGCAAATGCATGTTCTGTTGACTTTGCTTCTGCAATTTTGTAACAGAAATATTTCCAAATGGCTTTTGTCCACCCTTCTGATTTTTCTTGAGAACTGTACTTGAGTTGTGTCTTTTGGATGTTCTCATGTGATGGAAGAGCATTGTTGAGTGATCTTGCTTGATTTGGCCCTCTTCACTGGAACCTTGTGGGGGGTTCCAGAGGGCTACTAGGAGAAGGTAAAGGCTGAGAAAGAACTGCTTCTGCCACTGGAATATCTTGAGGATACATATCACTAAATTAATTTTATTAAGAATGTAAGAACATAAGAGAAGTCAATGCTGGATCAGGCCAATGGCCCATCCAGTCCAACACTCTGTGTCACACAGTGGCCAAAAATCAGATGCCATAAGGAGTTCCACCAGTGGGGCCAGAACTCCAGAAGCCCTCTCACTGTTGCTCCCCAAGCACCAAGAATACAGAGCATCACTGCCCCAGATATAGTGTTCCATCTATACCTTGTTGCTATGGTTGTGCTGCCACCACTTCTTGCAGCAGTGAATTCCATGTGCTAATTACTCTTTGGGTGAAAAAGTACTTCCTTTTATCAGTTCTAAGCTTACTGCTCATTAATTTCATTGAGTGCCCATAAATTCTTGTATTTTGAGAAAAGGAGAAAAGTACTTCTTTCTCTACCTTCTCTATCCCATACTTAATTTTGTAAACCTCTGTCATGTCATCCCTCAGTCATTGTTTCTCAAAGCTAAAGAACCCTAGCCTCTTTAACCTTTCTCCATAGCGAAGGCATTCCATCCCCTTAATCATTTTAGTTGCTCTTTTCTGCACTTTTTCAAATGCTATATAATATCTTTTTTGGGGGGGGGGTCACCAGAGCTGTACACAATATTCCAAATGTGGTCGCACCATCAATTTATACAGGGGCATTATAATACCGTGTTTTCCTGAAAATAAGACACTGTCTTTTTTTTTTTTTTCTCAAGAAGACACACTAGGGCTTATACGACAAATGCATAGAAATCCTGCTAGGGCTTATTTTTGGGGTAGGTCTTATTTTCGGGGAAACAGGGTAGTGGCTAATTTGTTTTCAGTCCCTTTCCTAATAATCCCCAGCACAGCATTTGCTTTTTTTATTGCGATCGGCATTTTCAGTGAGTTATCTACCATGACTCCAATATCTCCTGGTCAGTTACCGTCAGTTTGGACCCCATCAGTGTATATTTATAATTAGGATTTTTGACTCCAGTGTGGATTACTTTGCACTTGCCCATGTTGAACCTCATTTGCCACGATGATGCCCGCTTGCCCAGCCTTGACAGATCCCTCTGGAGCACCAAATCCCTCTGGTTCCTTGGTGCAAAAGGATACCTGTTCACCAACTGTAGAAGGGGTCCCTTCTGAGGGAACATTTCCCTTTTCTTCAGCATGGTGACCTGTTTCCTCTAGACCCTCATGCTCCCTGACAGTGGTAGGGCTGCCATTCTTATAGTGGGCCACAAGTCCCCAAGAGCCCTATCTATATGCCTAACTGCCTCTAATTCTCCAGGTCAGCCACCCTGGCCTTGAGAGTACGAACGTTCCCTGAGACCCAGTAGCTCCTTGCACTGAGCACACACCCATGACTTCTGTCCAGCTGGCAGATATTCATACATGTTGCGCTTAGTGCAATACACTGGAAGCCCCCAACCCCCTGCTGGCATTCTACCTAATTGCTTTTTTAATCCTCTTTTTAATAAATTTCCTATTTATGTAGATTTGTTTGTGAAAAGTGTGCTTACCCTTTTAGGTATGTGGAGAGACTAGTGCCATGGCCTCCTCACCCTGCTGCTGAACTTGCACGTCTGCTAAGCTCACCTGTTTATTCCCTTGTTCCAGACGCTTTGTCACTGGAGCAGGGCCTGCTACATTGCACCATTATTTGGAATTCTTAAGTTTCAGGAACCTTCCAACATTATCCTTAGCAAGTTTGGTCAGAGGCTAGGCTGAGAGAGAATGACAGGTCCAAAGTCACCCATTGAGTTTCGTTGTGACTAGATGTTTGAACCTGAATCTCTCAGGGCCCATTTCAGCACTCTAACCACTGCACCACACAGGCTTTCCAGTTAAAGTCAGTCCATAAAACCAAAGGAGTTGGTAAACTGTTGTGCAACAATGAAGCCAGATGACTTGAAAGCTAAAGTTCATTAAGGGGATGGTCTGCACTCTACCTTGCTTTATAACTCAGCTGCTGAGCCAGTGGTACAAGGCACCTATTCCTTTTAGACAATTCACCTCATACCTCAGTGCTTGGGAGGAAGCACCATTCAAGTCATTAGAACTTAACACAGAAGCTCGAGGTAGTGTTCAGATATCTTGTCACTGCCTACAGTGCAGCCCTTTGTACTGTGGACTTGCATGTTCCCCAGGGCTTGCTCTAAGTTTGCATCTGACTTTGTATTTCTTGTATCTGCTGGATTTAAAAAAAAAAAATTGTTTCAGATGTATGCTCTGCCTTTCCAGCTCTGGTGATTGATTAAACAATGACTGTTTATCTAGCAGAGGGCCAAAAAGGCAGTTCCCAAGAGAATGTCTTGTTTTCTACAACCTTCAGCCATTCATGAACAAAACTGGCCTGAGCCTTTTGTATCTCCAGAACTTTTCTCTCACCACTGCAGCTGCCTTTAACCCCACGTTCAGCATAAGAAGTGATTTGTAGCAAGACCCTTTGTCTCAGATCCCGGGATGCTCTGAGGACACTTGGAATATGGGAGATGGTGGAGTAAGCCCCCTGTACAGCCTGGACCCACTCCTCTGCCCCTTACATATGGAAAAGCAAGAAGTGCTAATGGGCTGGCTCGGTCTTAACCCCCACTTTTACAGTGCCTGCCGTTCAAATGCGGTCATATTAATTATGAGTCCAGGAATGAATCTGATCATCACTGAGCGGCTGCCCTGAAGAAATCAGGCCACTGCATTTTTAAAACATAAAATATGCATAGCAGCCTTAACGTTAACCAATGCTTCCTTCTACTCTGACTCTGCAATAATTGGCTATATGCCAAAGGGGGGGGGTCTGTCTTGGGAAATAGAAGTACATCATCAGAGTCCATCTAATTCAGCATTCTTTTGACAACAGCAGTCAGACACAAGTAGGACACAATGGTGCCTTTCTAAGTTTCGCAGCCACAATGAACATTCCACATTGAAGTATACCACATAGACAGTGGGCAGTTGGGGGCATCTATTTACTTTTACGAGTCCCTCTTTATAAAATACATATGATTTATGATGTATGTAAACAAAAACAAAAAACCTTGAGACTGCAGCCTTGCACACTTGGGAGTAAGTACTGTCAAATTCAGTGAAACTTACTCCCAATCATATGCATAGGTTCTAGTTATATGTCTGTATATAAGTTCTACAGGCACAAATATATAAATCTTCTCGGTCTTTAAAAAAAAAACCCACTGACATGACAACAATGTTACTTTAGAGCATGCTTGTGAGAATATTTTATACATCCATAATACTATGACCAGAATAATGAATGTAAAGCCTCCAAAGCGTGGGCCTTGAGGTATTTAATTTCTCTAACAAAATAATACAATGCAACATACATAGTAAACAGTTTCAAGCCAGTTATAAATTGGTTCATGTTACGTAATTCAGGGGGAGAGGAATGACATGAAACAAGGAAGGCTACCTGGACAGTAAAATGTTCTGTTGTGTGCGGCACACTGAATGAGTACAACTTGTTGGTAATACTGAACACTAAATAACCATTAGAATTAAATGTTATGAATAGATCGTTGTCTTTCATCTTGCCTCTTCAGCAGTATAAGAGAGGCAGTGTCTATTTAGATGTCATAAGAACGGTACGATTGAAAATCCCTCCCAGACTCCATGTTGCTTAGTGTGTTGTCCTCAAAGAAAATGTCACTTAGTCTAAGTGGTGAAAGAAATACATAACACAGAAATCCGGCACTTTGTGTGGTTTTAGCTTTTTGAAAGGATAAAATAGCTGAGCTAAGTGAACTACATTCTTTGTTTTCTGTAGGCCTGTTTTTTACTGGAGGGGGGGGCAGTTATATGGTACATGGAATGATTTGGTCATCCAGGACGGGAATGTGTAGCCCCAGTCCCACACACAGTTGCACTTGCCTAAGCCTGTTATCTGAAGCCTTGTATCTGAAGAAGTGTCTATCCACACAAAAGCTTATACCCAGAATTAAACTTTGTTGGACTTTTGGGGGCTCCAGTCCACAGACGGCCAGCTGGCTGGTAGGGAAACCCCACCCCAAACAAGGATGTAGCTGTGCGATGTCTCAGATGCAATGACATCACCAAGAAGTTACATCATTGCATTGCCGATGTCAGGGGTGATGGCTCTACTTTTTGGGCAAACTCTATGGGCTTGAAGGCAAAAACCCATAGAGTTTTGCCCAAAAACTAGAGCATCACCCCCCGACATCGGTGACGCGATTATGTCATTTCCAGCTGACGTCATCTTGCGAATGCAGCAGAAGATCCCGGGAAGGACCTGGGAGCCCCCTGCTGGCTGCCAAGTAGGACCTGGCAACCCTATCAATATGGCTGCCTGCAATTTTTGTCTCCATAGAGCTGCAGCTTCTAAAACTGTTGCTTGGGGGGGGGCAACAGTGGGAGGGCTTGTAGTGTCCTGGCTCCACTGCTTGGACCTCCTGATGGCACCTGGTATTTTCGGCCACTATGTGACATAAGTGTTGGACTGGATGGGCCATTGGCCTGATCCAACATTGGCTTCTCTTATGTTCTTAACACCGTAAGTGTTCAGATGTTCTAGTTTTTAACTTCTGTATTCCTTCCCAGACTATCCAGTGTAGTATCCTGGTTAGAGTGAGAGACTAGGATCTGAAAAACTGAGGTCTGAATCCCCACTCTGAAAAGCTCACCGGGTGACTTTGGGCCAGTCATTCTCTCTTAACCTAACCTCGCTGTTGTGAGAATAACATGGAAGAGGAGAGAAAGGCATAAATGAAGCAAATAATAGTTTAAACTTTTCCTAGCAAATTGTCATTTTTTAACTGCTAAACTCTAGATCATGCAAAACTAGATTCTGAATGAAATGCTTCTTACCTGGAATTAGAAAGCTGATGTGATTTTGTTTGCTAGCATACGTATTTAGAAGTTGCTGGATTCTTAAGGTTTGTTTTTTTAAAATTAAAATAGCTATAGAAACTTGTAGTACATTCCTAGAAGTAACACAAACAGATAGGTCTGGAAAACTAGAAAATATTTACTTGCGATGGAATGTAGTCTCGAAATCTGTACTTTTATCCACAACATCCGTTGGGAGTAGAAATTGTATATGGATTATATGTAATGCATATTTGCTACAGTATAGAGGTGGTGCTTATTCTGAATGAAAGACCATATCAGAGTATACAAAGAAACCAATTCAATGCCTGGTTTGTTATGCATTGTAGTTTTGGGGTTCAAAAAACACCAACCAGGATCCGAAGAACTACTACTTAGCTCCCCACACCAAAGGGAAGTTTTAATTTGTGTTTCTTTAACAGGAACTTTCTGTACTGCATCAAACAGTCTCTTCAGTTTCATAAGAAGTTTGTGATATGGCATGGGGCTCTGCCTTCCAAAGATAAAAAGTCAGAGGTTCCACTCAACACGCCCAAAGTCTGGGGTATACCTAAAATAAATTGTTGGATTCTGGCCAAAGTCTACACTTATTTTAATGCATCCTACCATGCTGTAGGTCGCAAGAAGGCATGCCACATGTTTCCAGGCCACTCCCTTCATTATTTTTGTTTAGGCTACAAATATAATATTATTTCATATTTGCTGGCTTGAATACCTTGTTCCTTCACTTGAAATTAAACCTCAGTGTTGCATAGTATTCTGCGAACCAACAGCTCAGTCTTTGCTTTGGAGCTCGCACAAGCAGGAAAACCAAATTAGAAATAAATCCAGGTCGTTCTGACACATTGTTAGTACTGCTGTATGTTGTTGTTTTTTCCAGGTTCCAGAACGGGAAGGTTCTGATAGTAATACCATGCTGTTGGTCCACTTCTTTGGAAGAGAAGGAAAAGAGAAGCTTCACTATTGTGAATTCTACAGGTAGTGTTGTTAAAAATATTATTAGGTAACACCTGCTGATGGCTGTTCTGTGTTACGAGGTGAGCTGTTTTAACACTGGCAAGTCCATCAACCACTGCCAATCAGTGTGAAAATATTTGCTGCTTAATAGCACCTATGGCTTCCATAGCAATACGTGTTATCTCAGAGGGATCTCAGATAGTGCTGCATTCTGTGGATATCACAACTGCCATCTTGTCAGCACAGTTTCCCTCAACTCTGCTTCCTTGGGACCAAATTCCAGCTGGTAATGTGCCCACAAATGACACTTAGATGCTTTCAGCAGAATGATTTTCTCAATCTTGTACCTTCGACACCATGGAATAACAGAAGTGTGAAGCCTAATGCCAGAGGATTCAGAGTTCCAAGGACATATTGCGTAATGCACCAGTTGCTTCCATATGTCATATGGTATTGTGTGACCTATCCCGGGGCCGTAATATGGCCTGGCAGACTGGATGCTGCCTGCTTCTAACTGCTGAGTCGCTTTGTAAAGTTGACAAAACCTGTGTAGGAAAATATTGTCATCTCATCTGTTCTCTATATTAAGATCTAGACAGGAAGCGCAACTGAGTCCAATGTCCACATTGAGGACCGAGCTGTTACCACCTGCTCTCCCCTCCCCCTGCCCCCTGGTTGATGGTCGTTGTTTGGTAACTTGAGTTTAAATTTTTTGTAGAACTGAAGGTTTTCTGCTGTTGATTTTTTGGATATTGTAAGCCACTTTGAGTTCATACTGAGCAGAGGAAAAATAGATTAAAAGTATCCAATCAAACAAATAAAATAACTGCATAAAATTACAGGTGATCAACTCTTAACTCCATCCTCCATCCATTGATACTGGGATTTTTAACAATATTTCTGTTTTTTCCCCTACACACAAAACTAAACATTCATCTCAGGGAATAAAAGACATTTTAAATGATGCATCTGGCGAGGGGGGAAAATCCCAGTTATCAATACAGTTTTAATTATACCACTATCTCAGCTCAGTCCTTTTCTTTGCAGAATCATCTGCAAATCAAAAGTCTCCTTGCTAGAATTCTGGTAAAAATACTCCCTCAAGGCCACTTCACATGTTAGTTTTCATTCCTAGGAGTTCTCTCATACATAAATTATTGCTGTGTTGAAAAGCACAGCCTGAGAAATATTTATACCTGTGTCAACTCCGGAGTCAAAATATGAATGCTAAAAAATCTGGAAATGGCTTGGCATGCCAGTTTCTGATAACAAGCAGTCATAGGTATACATCTTCATTTCTTATGGGGTAGGAGATTAACCTGAAAAAGAAGCATTTTATGCTGGCAATGCCCACAGTATGGGAGCTTCACACACTAGGTCCACGAAAGCCTAGTAGAGGAGTCATACTGTGCTGACTGCCAAACCCTATGAACTTGCACCCATGTAATTATAGTAACCTTAGGGGGGGAAGCTCAAAGGCATTATGTAAATGTTAAAATTAAATTAAAAATTGTTGAACATAGTTTAAACTAAACTTTGAAATCATGTTACACCAGATGTAACATAATCATAAACCATAGTTGATCATGGGAGGGTTCCCAAGCTTATGGGAGACTTGAGATAATCAAACTGCTGATTAGCATTTAACCTAGAGTATCTATACCAGATAACTGTGTAGCTGAAGCACAACTTTGTATGTTATATTTCAGACTACGTGAGAATCGTATAGTGGGTTTGTAATGAAAGTACTTTTCTTTGGAGTTATAACTAGGGGTGTGCACACACAAAAAACTGGAATTTTTCGGGTTCGGATATACCACACCCCAAAAATATTGGTATTGGTATTTCCCAATATTCCCAAATCCTAATATTGGTATTGTATTGGGATTCTGGAAATAATCAGGAAATAATCAGGATTGATGAATCTATTTAGCATGGTCTCTTTAAATGCACAGCGGTGCAAGCAAGCACTGCCACAGCAGTGCAAGCAAGCCCCCCCCTTCTTCTCCTTGAAACAACACCTTCCCATGGTGCTGGAGTCCCTTTTTTTTCATTCCTCCTGGCCTTCCTCTACAATATCCAAGGGTCAGCCAGCCGTCATGACTCCTGCAGTCACCAAACAAATCCCCCATAACCCCTTTTCCTTGCTGACCACTTCCTTCCCCTGCGTCAAACCCATGCCTTGCTGGGACATTGGAGTCCCAACTAAATATCTAAAAGATTCCCCTGGGGCCCCTCTTCAACAGCCAGGGATCCAGTTCCCAGCACCCCCTTCACTGCTGGTGTGAGCAAACCCCCTATTTCACCTTCTCCCCTTGAAAAAGACACCTTCTGGGGTGCTGGAGCTCCTGATCTTTCACTGCTCCCACCTCCTGGCCTTCCTGTACAATGTCCAAGAGTCAGCCAGCCGGCATGCCCCCACAACCACTGAAAAATCCCTGTACCTCCTTTCCTCTCTTCACCTCCTTCCTCCTGAAGCCCCACCTGTCCTAGAAGGCCCGGGGCCACTCCTACCAAACTCTCCTCCACCTTTTGGGCACTTTTAAAGTCTTAAATACCGTCTCTTTAAATGCACTTGTTGTCTCTTTAAATGCACTCGCCGAGTCCACAAATGCACTTAAAGGGTTGTTCGTGGCAGCGCAAGACAGGGATTAATTTCAGCTTTTATTTGGGATCCAGCCATTGGTAGCCGAATCAGATTAGAGAATCTGGTTCAGCTGAATAAATACTTGGAAAATACTGATAAGGTATTTTTTGGGTATTTATTCGGCTCGGTATAAACCGAATGTACACCCCTAGTTATAAATGCAGCATATTATTGAGTGGGATTGAGAAAATGAAACCTATTCTGTTCAAAAAGCAAGACCTATACTTGATCCAGTCTACTCAAGCCCAACATCTGTAACGACAAAAAAAAAATTGCATGTGTAAATTAGCCCCTTCTTGCATAACTACAGCATGGGGAACCTCTATATCCAGTATAGTAGGCTGGGTAGGCTGTCATACCAGGGCTGGAGAGACCCAGTTTCAAATATCCACTTAGACTTGAAAGTTTACTGGATAATCTTGGATTCCTTCATCCTAATTTACCTCAAAGGATTGTTGTTAGGGTGAAATAAAGGAGAGAAGAACCATGTTCACTACCCTTGGAGGAAGGTCAGCATGAAATGTAGTAAGTCTAAGCAAGGGTTCCCAACATTTTTGGACTGCAGGCACCTTTGGAATTCTGGCACAGGGTGGTGGGCACAACCACAAAATGGCCACTGCACGAGTGTCATGGTGCCATGTAAGTGACCTGTTGTTGATGTCATGGCTACTTCCTATGCAATGTCAAATGTAATGCAGCTGCCTCTCTCAAAATACCCCAGTTTCTAGAGCAGGTGACGCTGGTGTGGAAAGGAGCCATATTCCCATGTGACCTGGGGCTTCTAGCATTACTGTTGTGGTACCAGAAGAAGCTGCATACCACAAAGATAAGAGCAGAAGGAACCTTCTGTTAACTTTGGTCCTTTTTAATGCCGGAAAATTGTGTTCAGTAATATATAAAAAAGAAGCTGTCACAATGTGTATATAATCTTTCACTCATTTATGAGAACCAAATATCTTCATGATATCTGAATAAGAAAAGTATCAAAGTAGCATAAAACATGATGTGTTGTTTAACTGGAGTTGTATACACACACACACACACACACACACTGTACTCAGTAACCAATGCCACTGCTTTGTGCAGCATTTTTTTAAAAAAGCCAAACAAGACAAGGAACGGCAAACTTCTAATGCTGTGTGAAATATTTTCTTCCTCTGATTTCAGGTACACACCCACCTTCAAACAAGAAAAAAAAGGTCTCTCTTTGTAGTCCTTAAAAACAGAGCTCTGTTAACACTCCTCGCCTCCCTTTTCTCCAGATACAGTAGGGCCTCCTAACAAAGCAAGGGGCAGAGTGCACCCGTAAAAAGTTGTTTGCATTTATAGTGCGAACTGGAATGTTTCAGGTAATTAGATAAAACCCTGCATTGACCCAATGAGGCATAACACTGATAAAACTGTGTACCTACTGCATTCAACAAATGTAGGTTAAAGACCTTTGCCTACCACACAGATAGAACCCTGTAATCAGAATTGGGACTCCCACATCTTGGCTCTTAAGGCAGTGGGGATAAGTGTAGGGTTTAATACAGGTAATTTTTCAACAGCGGCATTTATTTTTCATGCACTTGGAATGTGTCTCCTTATCACTACCCACATATACCCACTCCATTTGCATTGTGACATGACAGTGAGTTTGTTTTAATGCACAGAAAGGAGAATGAAAGGATCAGTGTCTCTTTTAAAAAAAAACAAAAACAAAAAAAAGAGAGCTGGAGATATCACTTTTCACATTATTTTATTTGCGAGTAACTCAAGCACATCATTTCTGGGTTGCCATTGTTCAAGGGAAAATGTGATTTCTATCTGATGGCTTTTCACAACATTTGACTTCACATGGGAAGCCATTGTTGGCTTTTTGATCAAAGTGCCATGATGTTTTTACAAGAGATGACTGATGAGCTGTACAGACATAGATCATTGTCAAAGGCAAGGAAAAAAATTGATGGCAAATGCTTTTATCATTTTCCAAGTTCTTGCTAGAAAGCCTTTCCATTGATCAGCAGAGTAGCTAGAGAAAGCAGGAGTGATTACATTTGATTAGGCTTTCTTAAAACCTGTCACACAAGCTTTAGATATAGTTACCTGTGTAATTTACATTCCTGAAAACAGGGGGGGGGGATCATTCATAAGGCTTAATGGTGTTTACATGTGGTTAAGAGATTTCCCCTCCCCCTCAAATTGCTGAAATGAAACTTTGCATTTATTGTTCACTAGATTCTCAGGTAAATTTGTGTTGTTCTTTACGACTACATAGCTTGGGGCTGGTATGCATTTTACATCTGCCACATGGAAGCCAGTCTAAAATTCATGCCACATGTCAAGCCATTCATGGGTTCTTGGAATGAAGTGAGGGTTTTTTTCTTCCATG